GAGTGGGAACGTGATCAGTTAGTGCTCAGATTGCATCACATCACGTCACCCATATTCACGGGAACGAAAATCATGATCAATGCAAAAATGTTATTCACAAATCGATATCAGTGTACTATTATTTACATTTACATCTCATTACCGATGAACAGAGTTTAATAGACAGGTACAATGAATGTTCAATTAGATCATATTGACTAAGGAAATAATCAATATACACTTTACCATCAAATTACACACATTTACTAATACTGATAAAATTCTCGAGAACGGCACAACCATTAGTTCATTTTGCAGAGCAGTCCGTCAATCTGAAGATTATTAGCAAGAAAATTCATTTCTTTCTCTCACAAAATCGATCAGTTCATTAGTCTTTCAGACATTTCTCATAGTTCAAACATTCCAATTAGAATTCTATTAGTACATTTGTCAATTGAGTGGCAGAGTAAATAATAATGTGTATTTGCTTCTATCTTTCATTTAGAAGAGCATACTTTGTTGTGGTTTGCCGATATTCAAAGTAAATGTTGTTCAGATGATTTGTATTTGCGCTCAGTTCTCTTACAACCTGACATATCGGAATAGTTTCCGCTACTTCTATCATTAGTTCATCGTAAGAAACAGTGTTGGACATTGTTCCGTCGAGTCACATTTACAATCAGAATGTAATTACAATGAGTCACAGTATCTAATAATGACACCTTTGACAGTATTTACTCGTGTGATCTTTTCAATTGGTTTCTCATGTAAACGAGTTTCAATTCGGTTTAGGCCAGTCAGGTTTTTACTCACGATTCAAAATATACTGGACTACTAAAATTCAAGTCTCAATGTATGAAAATTCTTCATCTGTTTGTATTGTCAGTGTGTCCTGGAATATATCAATGTAAATAAATAACTCTTCTAAGTAAAACTCGCAGCATTTGTAACGACTTCATGTTACTCATAAGCTTGTATGCCAAATGAAACGCATTGTCATCTGAGATTACATATTATATATTGTAGATCATTCATATACATATACCACAACACTGATTCTCATTCAATTCATCATTATAAATCTAAGCAGTGAACAGTTGCACCGTTCATACGTTAGGCTGTTATACATCAGTGATGGACATACACTTTGATCTAGTTTGCTAGAATACCTTTGCACCGAACCATTATGCACTATCATAATTCCAATTTGTCTATCTCTCAAAAATGTGTGCGTGAATGTTCACCAAACGGGAGTTGGGAATGAGACCGAACAGCGTGATTTTATCACATTCATTTTCTGATCAGTTATCGATGCCTTATTTTCAACCTATCTTCCAGTTAGTCAGTACTCAGGCGATTCTTAATGTCTTCTTGATAACTTTCGAGGCATCATTATTTCACTAGGTTTTGCTTCAGACCTACATCGCGTTGATTCTGGAGGGAAGGTGTTGTAGTGATAATGGATCTCAACCACACGATACTTGATGTCGAACATGTATTGGTTAGCAAAATATATGTTAGACTTAATTTGTCTCACATATATACTACTAGAACCGCAGACGCGATAATGGCTATCCCAGAGTCCATGTGTAAGCTTTAGTCAGAACAAGAGCAACATCGCTTTAAACTATATCTGTTTCTGAACGTATAAATAACTAGATTAGTACAACAGTTAAGGAAATTACGGTTATTACGTGAAACGCACAAATATACCGACCAACATTGCGTGTCTTATAGAGGTGAATAAGATTATGAGTCACATCAATAAAATAGGACAGTAGTGTCCTTCAATTGGTGGGTCACATACAACACAGATAATTTACAGACACATCAGACCAGATCAACATAGTGGGTTCCTAAACAACGATTTGAATGGTTTGTTATGGACATTATTAACAGTGGAGAGAGGATGTTGTAGTGATAATGGTTGTCAAGCACACAGTTTTTGAAGCTGAACATGCAATGATCCGGTAGGTATACATTCAACGTTTGGGACTTAGAGAAAGTCAGAGATTGTAGATGTGGAAACAATAAATCGACTGTAAACGTCGTTGTTGAAATAATTCTAGTTTGAGTATGTAAGGTGAAGAACGGTCATGAGCATTGATTCATTTGCGAAAGAAATGCACACAGAAAGATCCATCTTAGCCACAGTTAGGTAACAAGTAATTGTAATGCAAATCGAGAAATCAAAAGACGTTGAACTGACATTATATTATATGGCAAGTATGATTCTGATGAGACGTACGAGTATACAGTGAATCTGAAAACAATGAACATAGGATAGTATTCTGTGCTCTCCCTATCTATTTCACTTATCCTCAAACAATGAAAATTACCGGTCAATATACAGACCGTGAGCAGGATGAATTGAAAATCAAGCGCTCACTGTGCAAATTCTCGGACTGGTACAACGTTTTCACATGTATTAATCTCGAGGACGCCATCGAAAATTTCTATCTGATCGTTAACTCTTTTCTAGATTCCTGTGTACCTCTTAAAACGCACAGGTTTATTAAACGTTACGATTTATATATACCAGCTGAAAATCGTGGTAGACTAAGACGCCTACAGCAACGTGATTTCAAGTGGAGACACATCACGAGGGTCGCACTAAAATCAGTAATTTTAAATCAAATTAAAGAGAAGCACAGATTGAAAGCTAATAATCAGGAGCTGGCAGCACATAATACAAGCACAACATTAGAAAATTTAATTTTCGTTTTCTATAAACGCGCTCAATATGTTGATTAACCACGCATCCTGCATAACATCAATTTTACTTAAGGCTCGCAAACTATAGCAAAACTTTTCAGTGGTATTTTTGCGAGTGGTAAGGAATTCCTAAAAGGCACTGTTTTCAAAGTCATGCGCGTGACTACAAACGAAGATAAATCTACCTCCTCCACATGCTTGAAATTTACTCAAACTATAAATTCCCTTAAGGTTTCCAGTGATCATGAAGCACAACCAGTTTCATCACTTAGCTACAAATATGGTATTCCAGATGTTCCATTTCTTCTTCTATAGATTTTTACTCTCTCTATGGTGTGTCGTACACTTTGACTTCCTAAATTCAGCCCTTTCTCAAAGTAACCAATTATATATTCTGCATTCGAAACCCACATCAAGTTGTTGTCGAACACTATCCTTGTTAGAAGTGGTGTAATACAAGGTAGTGAATTAAACATTTTGCCCTATTTGAATGACCATTCGTGAGTAGGCCCCATGCTGTGTGAAGATGATCCTAAAGTATCTTATTCATTTCTTCCCGATGAGCTGAACAATATGCAAAATCGCGTCAGCATGAAGACTGACAATGTGAAGGATTGGCGTCTAAAAAGGCAACTGGAGGTACTCCTACGATTTTTCGTTTACAGAACACATGTTGAAACGTCTTATGGGTTGCATACCTCGAAACCGTTGTAACAAAGTGCTAGGTTTGAGCTATTACGAATTCACTTAGTCCGCGAATGTAAAAAAGGACACTGCAACCAAGACCAATAAACTAGATATCTAGTGTGTCCCAGCCACGCTAACCAAAGAGAAGCCGAATTTTGAAAAGGGAAAGTTTAGTCCGTAAAAGTCAGAAGCACGACCGATAACAACAAACACAAATCAAATGTATATATATATACAGCATACAACTGTCCTTGGGAAGCACTGCGAAATCGCATACAAAAACACATGACGGACCAATAGCTTGAAAGATTCTACAAAGTGCAAAATACGACGTGATGGTGAAAAGAAGGCTTTGGCACGAAAACTAAGACATTCAAATTATTTTACCTGTAAATTTTCCAGACTGCGGAATAATCTACCACAATCTATCCGTAATACAGAATCACTCTCATCCTCTGTTCGCTGCATTGATGCACACTGCTCCTCTGAAAATGCATTGAATGTTCCAGCATGTGTATGTGTATTTTAAATGTCTAGCCATTCTTGCTACTGAATTCACAAAGTAAAATCACCTACTCGCTGTTTCTTCATGTAAACACCGTTTCTGGCTACCCTAGAAAACTTGAATAATGTCTAAAAGGAACTGCGTAACACTGAGTCACATGGCAAGTGCAATATGGTTGACCGGATTGCCACATTTTCGTAGTACTTGCTTCACTGCCCCATGTTTCCGTTTTAGTTTCTGTAGTTGTAGATGATTATGATGAATTCGTTGTGGCACAGAAAATGACATTCAATTCACCGTTCATATATCAACAGTTTGTGCACTTATGAAAAATCAAATGTCACCGGCTAGTGCATCGCATGGCTGTATTACATCTTGTAGGTGTACTACCTAAACAATGTTTGAGCTAGTAAGCTTAAAACAATCTTCGATCACATGTTAATTATGTACGTTCTATGTTACAATTTCTACCAGGTCGATGATGCTTTTAAACTGGTGTGAATTTTGTAAATATAAATATCAGATTATCTGCATAATCATTTCATGTACCCTGACTTGGGAAATTGAAATAGTGAATTTTGCAGCAAACGAAAATGTAAGAAAGGTGAACGTGGTAATGGAAGGGAAATTGTATGTTTAATGAAATCGTGTTAGTTAATAACGCGTTCAGGACAGTTTACAATAAAGACTGTACACGTTTAAACACATGCGTGAGGGGAGATTTTTAATGAGATTGTTTGTCATTGGTGTAAGGTGTGAACAGAAATGAAAGCAAGGGTATTGATATATGTGGTCCATGCATGAAGAGTCGTTATGCCTTCCCTTCTAACAAACAACCTAATAATAGTAGAATCAGTTGCAATATAAATTTTACCAATCTGAAGTGATAAATGTGTTTGCAAACATCTCATTACTACCACCAACTTCAAATATACTGTAGCGATCGGTTGCCAAATGCTGGATATATCCATTCATTACGTCACCTTGTTGAAATTTTGCTCTTCATTAATGTCGAACGGTGTGTAACATGCAAAATACTAATCTGCTAACCAATTGTGGCCGTATGTACATACTGCGTTCAATGAAGAAACAAATTATAACCAACCACAAACGTGTGTGTCAACTTGTTATTGTCTGTGTTGATCAGTGTCATCTGAAACAATATGAGTATATAAGCGTCGATGTAATAGTTGGTTTGATATTTTATTGTAGTCGAGAAAGAGAGTCACTAATTCCTTCATCCGACGTGTGGACAATCGAACTGACAATGAAATATATCAAGATGCTCATCATGATGTTTATAGTACACATTGCAATGATTCAAATCGTCCAGTCAGGTGGTGATATGGAAAGTAAGTATACGTCTTTATATCATGTTGCCATAGTAGTAAGCTAGTAACCACTGACACATGGCTAAATAACGATTTCTTTCTTTTTGAACATACAGAAACAGATAACGGAAATGGAAAAGTAGATGTAGTATTGGGGTCTAACGGTATCAATGTGAAAAAAGATGGCGAATCTATTGTTACCAAAATTAAGAAACCTGATGGCAACGACAAACTTACTGGTATCAATGCGAAAAAAGATGGAGAATCTATTGTTACCGAAATTGAGAAACCTGATGGCAACGACAAACTATCTGGTATCAGTGTGAAAAAAGATGGAGAATCTATTGTTACCAAAGTTGAGAAACCTGGTGGCAACGACCAACTATCTGGTTAAAATGTGCATTCTGACACATGAAAAGCAATTTCAGGACATCAACATGCGGTGATATAGTGATGATTTCTCTTCCATTTGGTTTACAACTTTGTTTTTAATAATTAGTTAATAAAGATATTTGCAACAGAATGTGAGCGCTTTTCTCTCGTTTCGTCGTTGTTTTACATTAGTCAATAATTGATAGCATAATATGTATGTTTGATTAGAATTGATGCACAAATTGACCTGAAACAACTAGTCTCAACAACAATATATCTTCAGTTTGCATTATATACATCATATCAGCGTCCGAATTAACGATTACAGTGACTAATTACAAGAATTGTAAAAGCAATGTAGACATCGTTAAATACAGTAGTCAGTGAGATCAGTAAGCTAGGTATCTCATTCTTTAAGTGAAACTTAATGTTCTTCAAGAAAGATATTCGCAACATAGACGTTCTAAATGCCTAGAAATCTCCTCCGATGTTGAAGAAACAAATATTCAGTTTTGCACAGTTTTCATGTCAAAGAATTTTATGAGCAGTTTCACAACTACCAACCCATCGTGTTCATCTTATCAATGAGATTATAGCAAATCATCTGAAATCAACATGGATTGTGGCTAATTTCGGTTAAGCTATTTTATTGACTCCCTTAACAGACAATGTTATTCGAACAGTGACCATTCGCATATTTCTTCGTACTATTTTGATCACTATCATATCTGTATAAACGTGTAGGCTTGATCGCATGATGAACTCTAGCTCAAATGTTGACAGTTCAAATGTTACTCGATGATCCATTCTCTTCCTCATGTATGTATGTGCACGAATCCTATTATTAGTTTTTGCCTTGCATAGCTGCGCCTTATTGCATTTGACTCTAAATTTGTCTCTGTATTCGCTCGCACACACACATTTGTCTCTCTGCTTCAAATTCGCCCGATATACTTATAATCTAGTTGTCCTGACACGTTCGACGCTCTTCATCGACATAGTTTTCGTTGAACACCAAACGGTGATTATTTAACCACACTGTCTCACCATTTCGTCCGTTTGCAACTACTTGTTTGAATGAAACTCGTTCCATTTCCAATGTTTCGATCGAATCTAAATTCATCCGATTAAACGATGGAATTGGAAATGTGGTTTGACATTCCCTTTACACGATTGCTCTGAGCACTACATTTTAGACTGCGTTCCTCCAAAGATCATCCATCTGATTTTAATTGTGAACGTTTGTGTGGGTTGTGAAGAGCAACATAATGTGACACTATGGATTGTCAAGAAATCTGATGTATCAGTGATATGCAAAAACAATTGCAGATAAGCTGTATAATTTCACACTCCAACCATTGACTTGGGCTGAAAAAACTAACACCATGAACATAATTTTTTCTGAATACAATAAACAGATCCATCAGATTGCTAGACGATACATCGTGTCTCATTTCGTTGTTCTACAAAACGTGCGCATATGTTCAGAGAGAAAGTTAGATGGATGACACACTGACTGATTGAATGAGGCTGACACAGTACCATCAACAGTTTAAGAAACAGCACTTTGATCATTAAATTTCCACAAGTTTGATAAAACAATAATGTTGTTCACTCTTTGTCATTACATGCTGACTGTCAATGTGACTCGACGGAACAATGTCCAACACTGTTTCTTACGATGAACTAATGATAGAAGTAGCGGAAACTATTCCGATATGTCAGGTTGTAAGAGAACTGAGCGCAAATACAAATCATCTGAACAACATTTACCTTGAATATCGGCAAACCACAACGAAGTATGCTCTTCTAAATGAAAGATAGAAGCAAATACACATTATTATTTACTCTGCCACTCAATTGACAAATGTACTAATAGAATTCTAATTGGAATGTTTGAACTATGAGAAATGTCTGAAAGACTAATGAACTGATCGATTTTGTGAGAGATAGAAAAGAATTTTCTTGCTAATAATCTTCAGATTGACGGACTGCTCTGCAAAATGAACTAATGGTTGTGCCGTTCTCGAGAATTTTATCAGTATTAGTAAATGTGTGTAATTTGATGGTAAAGTGTATATTGATTATTTCCTTAGTCAATATGATCTAATTGAACATTCATTGTACCTGTCTATTAAACTCTGTTCATCGGTAATGAGATGTAAATGTAAATAATAGTACACTGGTATCGATTTGTGAATAACATTTTTGCATTGAACATGATTTTAGTTCCAGTGAATATGGGTGACGTGATGTGATGCAATCTGAGCACTAACTGACCACGTACCCACTGTGCATTGGAATGAAATGTCTCAGATCATGGGGTTTAAATTGATTGTTATCTGAACTCAGAAGTTCGTGATTCGATGTATGGATAAGAAGCGATTACGGACATTGTCTAGATTGACCACAATATTATGCTGCTCTGTTTCATTCAACAGGATAGTTTGTTTGTTTGTTTTAACTGTGATAAGAATAAGCCGTCACAAACATGGCGTGGGGTTTAACTGAATGGTTAGTATTCAGAAATCCTCAGTTCATTCGACTAAATATATTTCGGATTGACTGATCTGGCTGTCTCCTCAGAATGCTGAATGTCCGTTGTTTGGAAACAGTCAGCAACAGAGTCAGTAGAAAAAGAAAATACACCTTCGTTCCGAGAAGTAAATTAATAAGAGACGCATGAGATGGATAGAACATACACTATAGGAATCATGAGATTGCAGATATTGTAATGGTGAAGGTGGAAGGAAAACAGAATATCCCATGAACATATTGCGTCGATAATCGAAAACATGCATGAAAAGATTGAATAGCAACATGGAAGAACTGGGAAGGAATGTCCAAAACAGGGTTTGATGGAGAACAATGTGGGTGGCGAATGCGCCCACATGAGGTGTGGCAGGCGTAAGTAAGTATGTGATTACATTAGCAAAGAGTCCAACTCCGATGTAGCTTGTGATCTGTTGCCTTTGAACATATTTGATTAACTCGATTCTCCTCATGGTCATGAGATAGCAGTTGAATGATATAGTCGTTAGCATGCATCAGATGAGTAGAATTTCATCCCTCACATCTATAGAACTGATGTGACGAAATTGAGACTGTTTACCAAATGTGATTATGTCAGTTAGTTGGATGGATGTGAATATCGCTAGTTTGATTTTCCAATGAAGTTACTCGGTTTCGAGTAAGGGTTATGAAGAGACTGATTGATTGATACTTATAACGTCAACGTGAACTTCATAATGAACCATCCACCACACACTACTCCGTGTCAATAACGTAACCATTTCGTGTTACACATCTTGCTCTTCTTCTTCGAAATGAATTGTAAGCCACATAAATACCAAGTATCATGCCAAACGGAAAAAACATCTCCGAATATAAATTCAACTGAATATCAGTAAATAATATAACACTTTCAATAAGATATAAGATGAAACGAGATGAATTCAAATATTGTTAGGTACATTTAACTCTTGATTGTTCACCAATAAATCAACTGATTGCGCGTAATTCTTCAACTGTAGTTTTTGACAAGCAATGCGAAAGAGGGATATCGATCCAAATACATATCTGACAAACAAAAACGAGAGAGACAATCAGAAATTCTTCGCTAAACTATTCAAAAATTAACACCAGCAACAGACTGACCATTTCTAAACGTTAGTCGAGGTCTTCAAAATCATCTCGACAACCAGAAGAGGGAGGACGAAGGAGGGTGAAAAGTTCAATGGCTAGTGCTGATTCATGGGTAAATTTTTGTGTTATCACATCGTTTTGTGTCTACAATCAAGTTATTGTATTGTGATCAAATTTCATAGGTAGAATGTTTTCATTTTATCTGGGAAATATTTAACTTCGTATGTGTAAAATTTGATTTTAAGTTGGGCGCATCCGTTTAGATCTATTGAACAATACATTTGGGGTACTACTTATTAAATGGGATTATATTCACTACATTTGGTATAATCTACTACGTTTAGTCTGGTGGTAATGGATACGTATTTTCATGAAAATCACTTTGGATCAAAATTCCTGTAATTATTGATCTTCACATATTATTGTATAAAATAGACATTAACTTTTGTTTTTGAACTGTGTGTGAGCAAGAATTAGATAGAACTAAATATGTAGGGCAGAGTGGACTGAAGAACGCTGGTTGGCAGCCTATACTCCATTATGAATAACAGGGGTAAGTAAGTAAGTAAGCAAGTAAGTAAGTAAGTAAGTAAGTAAGCAACTAAACTATACTAATATGCTATCCTGCATATCAGCACATCTATGCAGCCCTCCTGGACATAAATTTCAACATAACAATGTAGGAATTATTATGAAGTGAAATTTTTAGAATGTGAAAATGTTTCTAGAATAATTCAGAGAACGTTCAGTTACATGATTAGCTATTACTTGGATTTATTGATAATCTGGATTGCGATCATGTATTATGTCCATGTCACAGAGGTTTACGATGAATAGTATTTTACGCATGTACAGTCTGCAAACACGTAGACATCCTAAAATGCAGTAAAATGTCATCTGATCCATCCGACAGCTTGATCATACCAAAAAGTAGTATGTATATCAACCGATATAATTAATCAGTCTGTTTTAGTTTACAAGTGGTCATAAAAACAAAGACAGTCAGGTTTCAGAAAGGTTTTTGTGGAGATTTTAGTAATTTCAATAGTTCAGATCATGAGTCAATTGAAGCTAGACTATCATGGAAATCCTGGAAGTACTGGATGGCGGTTTTTTCCTGTTGTGTGACTCCCAAGCAGTGCGCATGCAAGACCGCGCCCTCTGCGTGATTCGAACCCAGGACCTATCAGACTCGCGCGTGAGCGCTTACGCTCATATATGCGCATATGCTCACTAGTGACTGGCTTCAACATGTATATCTTCAGGTTCTAGTGGGAAGCAGTGACCATTGGAGTTCAACCGTGTCAGTTGTGCGATAGTAACTCACTGATGACAATGATGGATGCAACGCTCAATTTCGTAGACTGGTCGGAGTTAGACATTAACAACATTTGATGCCAACCAGCTCAGTGATCTAGTGGTTAGACGGTCGAGCGCGAGAATGATATGTTCTGGTTTCGAATCTCTCAAAGTGGTGTTGTGATGCACATTGCTGAGGATTCTCAC